AGTCGACGACGAGAGGGCAGCGGCGAGGCACCAGTGGAGGACTACGGAGACGGCCGCTCCAGGGAGACTGCTCACCAGACGCCTCAGCACCCCCAGACCCCTCACACTCAGGCTCAGCACCTCCAGGCTCCACACCCTCAAGCTCCGCACCCCCAGGCTCAGTACCCCCAGGCTCAGCACCCCCAGAAGTAGCACCCCGAGCAGGACCGTCCGCAGCAGGACCTGAGTCACCAGTGACCTCAACCGGCGCAGTCAAGGGAGGAGGGTCTACCTGAGACACACCTGAAGGAGCAGGACCGGGAGCGGGGAGGGGGTCTACCTGGGGAGCACCTGGAGCGAGGAAGAGCGGCGGGGGGGGGAGCGGGGCAGTGCGGTAGGGGAAGAGACGGTAAAAGGGAACCGACTCGTCGAACGTGACGTCCTGAGACGCAAAGACACGGCGCGAGGTGGGGTGGTAAAACTGCCAACCAGGCGCGTCAGGGACAAAGCCAAGGAAGACACAGGGAACAGCGCGGGCGGAGAGCTTGTCCGCGGTGGTATCACGGACAAAGGCACGAGCACCCCAGACCCGGAAACGCGACGCATCGCCAACCTTCCCCGTCCACAGCAGTGTGGGCGAGGTCTCCGGCAAGGAGACACGGGGCCAGAGGTTGAGCTGATGCGCGGCGTACCGGACCGCAAACGGCCACAGAAAATGGGGGGCAGCTGCATGGATCATGGAGGTACGAGCGACCTCCATGACTAAGCCAATGCGGCGCTCAGCAACCCCATTCTGCTGCGGAGAGGCCGGAAGCGTGAACATCTGGCGGATGCCGTGCGTCGCACAGAAGGCTGCCAAGAGGTCTGAGGTGAACTCACCACCTCTGTCAGAGTGCAGACGCAGGACAGGAAAGTCCCACAGGAACCGCTCGCGGAGCTGGAGAAGAACAGTGCGGATCCAAGGGATCAAAACATCAGGGACGTCCCCCTTGCGCTGCAAGGGGAAGACCGTGGTGTAACGCGTGTAGTCGTCGACGACCAGCAGGAAGTACCGCTCGTGGCCCTGTCCACGGACGCGGGCTGGGCCCCACACGTCTAGGTGGAGAGTCTGCAGGGGAGCCTCTGTGGGAGGGAACGAGGAGGAGTGAGGAGCGGCGCGCTGCCGCCCCTCGACGCAAGGAATGCAGGGCGGCGCAGGCGAGGGAGGGAGGGCAGGCAGAGACCTGGGAAGACCAGAAACCAGGGAGCGAGAGTGCATGCCACGAAGGCGCTGCACCGAGGGGTGACCAAGGCGGTGGTGCCACAGGAGGGTCTGGTGCGACAAAGCGCGACACTCGCAGGGGGCCGCCAGCTGACCTGACGCAGACGCAGACGCAGACGCAGCTACCTGAGGGGACTCAGTGGTCAGTGTGTACAGACTCGAGCCAGGCGCACGGGTAAATGTGGCCAGGTGTCGGCCCGTCCGAGCACACGTACAGTGAGTCACTCGCTGACTCGCAGGAGTGAACTGGTGAACCCCCCGATCCTGGAGGTCAGCTCCACTCACCAAGTTCGTAGAGAACGAGGGGAGGTAAAGACCTGACAGCGAGCCAGACGGGGCGGCCGGACACGGCAGAACCGTGGAGTAGTGGGCAAGGACTGGACCCCCGGAGGGGTCCGCCAGGGAGACTGGAACTGGCCGACTAAGCGGCGTGAGTGTGGTGCAGTCGCGAAAGAAAGAGCGGGAAGCTCCTGAGTCAAGGGTGAAGGTGTGCAAGACCGCAGCAGGCGCAGTACCAGAGAGAGCAGACTCACCAGCACCTAGAGCAGCAGCCTCACCAGCACTGGGAGCAGGAGACGCACGAGCACCTAGAGCAACAGCCTCACCAGCACCTAGAGCAGCAGGCTCTATACCTGGGTCAGGCGGTACACACAGGTAACAGGCACGGTCAGCACTAGTAGGCAATGCATACATGGCAGTAAGAATAGCATCATAGTCAAGAGCAAAGATATCTACCCTCTGTCCAAGCAGCTCCAGCCAGGTGGGGAGCTCAGCCTCGTCGCCAAACTCGGTACGCCAGGCGTCGCTCAGACGGGTGAAGCAGCGGGACTGTGTGTGACCAAGCGTCCCGCAAGGCTGACCAGCCCGATCACCTGTGCGAATAACGTACGGGCAGCGAACTGTACTCAAAGACCCTCCACTCTGAGCGTACCACTCATGGAGCTGCTGGGACGTAAGTGTCTTGCGTGGACGCCGCTGCAGCTGCAGCTGGCCACTACCAGACGCTCCCAACTGACCAGCTCCAAGGCGACAGCTACGACGGCTGCCGCGACAACCCCAACTACCATACCACTCACTAAGCTGCTGGGGCGTGAGAGACTCGTGGAAACGTCGCTGGAGCTGCATCTGGCCACCTGCTAGTAGCAGTAGTAGCAGCAGCAGCTCGGGCAGGGCAGGCGCGGCAGGCAGGCAGGCAGGCCGGCAGGCAGGCAGGCAGGCCGGCAGGCAGACAGGCAGGCAGGGCGGTAGGCAGGCCAGCAGGCAGGCAGGCAAGCAGGCAGGCAGGCAGGCAGGCAGGCAGGCAGGAAGGCAGGCAGGCAGGCAGGCAGGCAGGCAGGCAGGCAGGCCGGTAGGCAGGCAGGCAGGCAGGCAGGCAGGAAGGCGCTCACCAGAGGCGGGAAGAGCAGGCGCTCGCCGGGCGAGCAGGGCCGGCGCTCGGCGGGCGGCGGCCGGGTAGGCGCACGACGGCGGCGACGGCAGAGCCGCAACAGCGGCTGCAGAGTAGGGCCGCGGCAGCTGCAGGGCGGGGCCGTGACAGCTGTAGTAGGCTCCGCGGCAACTGCTGCAGGGCAGGGCCGTGACGGCGGCAGAAGGCTCCTCGGCAGCTGCGGCAGGGCGGGGCCGCGACAGCGGCAGAAGGCTTCGCGGCAGCTGCTGCAGGGCTGGGCCGCGACTGTGACAGGCCGGGGCCGACGTCCAGGGGGGGGGTGGCGCTGTGACGAACAGGGGCAGCCGCGGCGCGCGGGGCTACAGCGCGAAACGCGAGCTGCGGGCGCGGCGCGCGAAGCCGCCGCGGGCTGCGCGAGGACGGCAGCCGCGGCGCGCGGGGCTGCAGCGCGACGCGCGGGCAGCGGACGCTGCGCACGGGGCTGTAGCGCGACGCGCGGGGCTGCAGCGCGACGCGCGGTCGGGCAGAGGCTGCGCGCGGGCGGCGAGGGCCTGCAGGGGCGGCGCGCTGGCCTGACGGGTCTGCAGGGGCGGCGCGCTTGCGTGACGGGCCCGCTGGGGCGGCGCGCTGGCCTGACGGGGCCTGCAGGGGCGGCGCGCTGGTCTGACGGGCCTGTAGGGGCGACCGCGGGCCTGACGGGGCCTGTAGGGGCGGCGCGCGGGCCTGACGGGGCCTGTAGGGGGGGGGGGCACGGGCCTGACGGGGCCTGCAGGGACGGCGCGCGGGCCTGACGAGGCCTGCAGGGGCGGCGCGCTCGTAGCTTGGGCACCGCGCGGGGGAGCAGCAGGCAGCGCGAGGGCTGCACGACGGCGCGCTCAGCGCAGCACGTCACAAGGCAAGGCAGGGCGCACGCATGAGGCGCAGCGCAGGCAAGGCAGGGCATGGGATAACCCGGTAACCGCAGTCGAACATTAGGCAATTGTGGGCCCGGAAAAAAAAACGGTCCTACGAACCTACTGCTCTGATACCATGTTAGAAACTAGTAACAGAGTGACTGAACTAGCAGCATGATGGGTACAAGTAGGAAACCCTAATTTGGGTTGTACCCCATATGGGCTACCCCATTACAGCCTACACAATAAGCAGCATATATGTTTGACAGAAAGAAGTGATAAGGCTGGTGGCGCCCCTTCAGGTTTCAGTTATTTTTTTATTGCACTGCCATGTAAAAACTACTAGCTAAACCGCTAAACATCATTTAGAGCGTCTCCCTACGCCTCATATCAAGCAACCTCATATCGGACTTGCCTGGTACAACTAGCAAAGGATTTTGGGCTTGGGGCAATTTTTAGCGTAAGCCTGATATGAGACTTCTTTGATACGAGGCATAGGAACACGCCCTTATTACTTGGAGGCTCTCATATCCCATGTTGTATAACTTCAGACCTGTGTGGGCTTTGATTTGAACACAACAGATATGCATCTACCACGAAAGAAAAGAAACACCCCAAGGTCAGCATGGTTTTTGCCAAAATTACCTTCAAGGCCACGACGAGGATTTGTTAGAGGGTTCTGCAATACTCTGTAGCTGCGTGGTTGTTGCCGCAGAGAGGTTAAAGTCAGAATAATACTCTCAGGTCGATGTTTACCGGACACGGCACCTACAACTTACACACATGACAAAGGATTTTCACTGTTATGAACAAGGATAGTAAATTCCTCTAGGTGTTGAGAGCTTTCAGTGTATCAAGTGACACCCCAGTCTTGTGATGTTGGTTCATACGCGTTTCACGTTCATGGCATGTTGTTCCACCCGCGCAATCCGCGGCCCTGCCGCGTCAACCGCTTTCACACTGCCCAGATTTCAACCAGGGAAGCGGTCAACAAACTTCAACAGTTGCGCAGGTGTGGGCCCAGGGCCCACTGTTGTGTGCGTAACCAAGCAGCACAGCGGAACTGTCGGAAGCGCATTTGCGAGTCATTTTGGCGTCGCAGGTTGGGATTTGTAACTTTTCGCGAAAACATATCGCCCAATCTCCATGTCGTGAAATGTGTCTGCGAAACCTGAGCTAAAGGCGCAAGTCCCGGATTTGACGTGGCGGGAAATTCATCATCCCGCCAAAATCAATCGCGGCGCATCCTTTCGTTCATCTCATCTCACCAAAGCAGAAACGCTTTCGAGTCGCGTTCCCACCCCACTACAAAATCATGCTCTCGTCACCCACATCGACATCTTCACCACTGGGGACTTTCCTCTAGATTTCCACCCCGTCACTTCAACTTTCTCGCAATTTGAGCTTGTCAATCGCAAATATCCCTGTTTTTTAGCTCGTCCGTGCGTGACGGGTGCCTGGAGAGGTTGATTCCAGCACGATGGGGTGCAATGCGCGAGGCACGGCGTTGCCTCTTCTGCTCGCGCTTCTAGCGGCGTCGGTGATTGTCGCGCCAGGTGAGTCCCCCACTTCGTGCTCACCTTCTGTCCTCCATTTTGTTTTCCTTCTCCTCTCATCGATTACCAATTCGTTCTTCCTACTCTCCTCTGATAACCTGCCTGCTTGTCGTGCATTCCTGTTCTGCGTCCTTCGATTCCGTCGGTTTTTTCTGCCTTCGATTTCGATGGATACGGGATAACGGATATAATTTGTCGTATCGTTTCTATCTGCGCAGCAACCGCGAGGGTTCTTGCTCCGCGAAGTCCGCGGCGAAGTCTCGCTCTCAAGGCCCTCTCGCTCCTCAAGGTGACATCAATCAAACCGACGCTGCTGGCTGTTAATGATTTGGGCGGCGGCTCTGGCGGAGATCTGGGCGGACCAGGCGGCGATTTGAACGGCGGCAGCGGCGGCGATTTGGGCGGCGGCTCTGGCGGAGACCTGGGCGGCGGCCCTGGCGGAGATCTGGGCGGCGGCTCTGGCCCAGATTTGGGCGGCGGCAGTGGTGGGGATTTGGGCGGCGGCAGCGGCGGAGATTTGGGCGGCGGCAGCGGCGGAGATTTGGGCGGCGGCAGCGGCGGAGATTTGGGCGGCGGCAGCGGCGGACCTGGCGGACAGCAGGGCGGACCCGGCGGGCAGCAGGGCGGACCCGGCGGGCAGCAGGGCGGACCCGGCGGGCAGCAGGGCGGTCCCGGCGGACAGCAGGGCGGTCCCGGCGGACAGCAGGGCGGACCTGGCGGGCAGCAGGGCGGACCTGGCGGGCAGCAGGGCGGCCCCGGCGGACAGCAGGGCGGCCCCGGCGGACAGCAGGGCGGGCCCGGCGGACAGCAAGGGGGTCCCGGCGGACAGCAAGGGGGTCCTGGCGGACAGCAGGGCGGTCCCGGCGGACAGCAGGGCGGCCCCGGCGGACAGCAGGGCGGTCCCGGCGGACAGCAAGGGGGTCCCGGCGGACAGCAGGGCGGTCCCGGCGGACAGCAGGGCGGTCCCGGCGGACAGCAGGGCGGGCCCGGCGGACAGCAAGGGGGTCCCGGCGGACAGCAAGGGGGTCCCGGCGGGCAGCAAGGCGGTCCCGGTGGACAGCAGGGCGGGCCCGGCGGACAGCAGGGCGGTCCTGGCGGACAGCAGGGCGGACCCGGCGGACAGCAGGGCGGACCTGGCGGACAGCAGGGCGGCAGCGGCGGAGATTTTGTTGGCGGCAGCGGCGGAGATTTGGGCGGCGGCAGCGGCGGAGATTTGGGCGGCGGCAGCGGCGGAGATTTGGGCGGCGGCAGCGGCGGAGATTTGGGCGGCGGCAGCGGCGGAGATTTGGGCGGCGGCAGCCGCGGACCTGGCGGGCAGCAGGGCGGACCTGGCGGACAGCAGGGAGGTCCCGGCGGACAGCAAGGCGGGCAGCAGGGCGGGCTGCAAGGCGGACCTGGCGGGCAGCAAGGCGGGCAGCAGGGAGGACCTGGCGGGCAGCAGGGCGGACCTGGCGGGCAGCAGGGCGGACCTGGCGGGCAGCAGGGCGGGCAGCAGGGCGGACCTGGCGGGCAGCAGGGCGGACCTGGCGGGCAGCAGGGCGGACCTGGCGGGCAGCAGGGCGGACCTGGCGGGCAGCAGGGCGGACCTGGCGGACAGCAGGGCGGACCTGGCGGCCAGCAGGGCGGACCTGGCGGCCAGCAGGGCGGACCTGGCGGCCAGCAGGGCGGACCTGGCGGACAGCAGGGCGGACCTGGCGGACAGCAGGGCGGACCTGGCGGGCAGCAGGGCGGACCTGGCGGACAGCAGGGCGGACCTGGCGGACAGCAGGGCGGACCTGGCGGCCAGCAGGGCGGACCTGGCGGCCAGCAGGGCGGACCTGGCGGCCAGCAGGGCGGACCTGGCGGACAGCAGGGCGGACCTGGCGGACAGCAGGGCGGACCTGGCGGGCAGCAGGGCGGACCTGGCGGACAGCAGGGCGGACCTGGCGGCCAGCAGGGCGGACCTGGCGGACAGCAGGGCGGACCTGGCGGGCAGCAGGGCGGACCTGGCGGGCAGCAGGGCGGACCTGGCGGACAGCAGGGCGGACCTGGCGGACAGCAGGGCGGACCTGTCGGCCAGCAGGGCGGACCTGGCGGACAGCAGGGCGGACCTGGCGGGCAGCAGGGCGGACCTGGCGGACAGCAGGGCGGACCTGGCGGGCAGCAGGGCGGTGGTGGAGATCAGGGCACTGGTGGAGATCAGGGGGGATCTGGCGGGCAGCAAGGGGGTTCTGGCGCAGATCAGGGGGGATCTGGCGGGCAACAGGGGGGTTCTGGCGCAGATCAGGGGGGATCCGGCGGGGGATCTGGCGGGATTGCAACTGTTCAGAATGTGGGAGACAGCACTTTCTCAAAGGTCGGTGTGAAGGCAGGAAAGGGGGCAAAGGGCGGCAAGGGTGGAAAGGGAGGGAAGGGGGGGAAGGGGGGCAAGGGCGGAAAGAAGTGAAATACAGTGCCTGCAAAACCGTCTCTGCAAAAAGTTCTCTGTTTTTGAGGCGCCTCGGAGATGGTCTGTGTTGTATCATGTATGTAAAATTTTTGTCTGTTGCATAGTTGGACCTTAAACCCAATATTCTTGAATGTTCCCCCAACCGATTAATGTGGATGCAAGTACTTATCCTGTTCTTCCATATCGCTCCTCCTTTGTTACATTCTGGGCTTACCTAAGACTGACTTTTTGACTGGCACGGCAGAATTTCAATCAGCCACCAACCCATCACTTCTTGTGAAATTTCTGATTTGGAGTGCCAAGCCACAAACCAATACCCAAAGGCGTGTCCAACAAGAACCAAATCAGGTGTTGCTGCCTCCGTTCCTTACCAGGTCTCTAATCGTGCCCCCATAAAGATTGTTGGATGGGCTGGGCTTGGGTTCCTGAGAAGAAATATGTTGCAATGGTGGTATTGTATGCCTTATGGATACCATGGGTAGGGCTGCCAAGTTGCTGCTCCCAACCTGAGTTATTGAGGAGGGCATATGGCGTGGTCATGTAAGTGGTGTGTGAACACTGGATTGTACCGTATTCCATCAAATTTTTTACTGAATTGTATTGCTTGCTACGTACATAAAAAAGAAAGAAGAAAAGAAGGCCTACTCCCTTTCATTGAATGCAATATTGTATACCAGTCACACTACCGAACATCAAATGAGCAGAGAAAGAGGGAACATTACATTAAGGTCGGTGGTCAACAATGGAACGACACTGCAGCTGTGCACATGTCAGTACACCAGTGCCCATGCTCATTGGTTTTGTACAAGTGCATCAGATAAAATTTGGGGAGAATGGGAGGGAAGGGGGTTGGGGCAATAGGGATGCGAGGGAGAGGGGGAAGGGCAATAGCAGGAGGAGAAGCCGATACTTGTTATGGCTCCAAATGTGAGAAACTACCCTACCCTAATTACTACACGTCTGATTTTGTCTCCTTGCACCACGTTTGGGCGGCTGTCTGCTGGCTGCACGGCATGGCACGGCTCCTACTGCTGGCAAACCCCATTGGATGCAAGGCCTCTGTCGTGGCACACCGTGGCTGGATGCAAGGCGTTTGCGTTGACGTATAAAGACCATTGAATGATGGCTAGGGATGATTCAAAATCAAGGATAGCCAGCATACGGGCTACGCGCAGGAGGATACGGGCAGGAGGACAGGTTGCCTCACTGCTGCCCCAGCACCTGGGCGAGCTTCGCAGCAGCGTCCTTGCGTGCACTGGCAGGGAGCTGCAAAGGAAAATCGGAACAGGAACAGCAAGAGCAAACAGGAGAAGAATGAATCAGGCAACGGAAGGAATTGGAAGTTAAAATGAAACAATGAAAGCTGGAAAGGCATGCAAAGGCAACAGACGGCGTTCAAACAAGCAGAATGGTGGAATGGAATGGGAGAAAGCCGACAGCTCAAGGAGGTTGATAGCACCTATGCAGCCTAGGGTGCCAGTATGCCAGCACACTACCCAGCCAAATTTGAGTATGCCACCCACCCACCCACTCAAACATGAAACATGGCAGCATATTAGCACACCACTGAATGAGCCAGCCGGTTTGTTAGGCACCAAAAAGATTGAAGGAAGGGGGGGGGGGGTGGGGGGGAGGGAATAACGTACCGACTGTAGCACGCTGGACACAGCCTGTGCCAGACCGTCCGCAATGCTCCCAGCGTCCCTCTCCCTCGTCAGCACCGCCGCCAGCCTGCCTCCCCTCAACGCCATCACCCTCCTCCTGAACCCCTCCGCATTCCTCCTCGTGCCCTGCACCCACGCCATGAACTGCTTATCATCCAACCACTCATCCCCATCTATCGCCTCACTAGTCCTCAGCGCCTCGCTCTCCCCACGCTTCACCCTCTGCTCATCCAAATACCATCGCTTCACCTCCGCGATCGCATCAATCTTCCCCAGCCCGTCCACTTGTAGCATAAACTGCCTCGCAAGCCCATCCTCTGCGACCTTCCGACACAACCTCGAGTAGAAATACGCCCTCGAGTTCTCCCAAGTTACAATATCCCGGATCGCGCCCTTAGCCGCCATTCGCCTCGGGGTATCATGCAGCTCGGCAAACCGCACCGCGATCTGAGTATACACCGGCAGAAGCGCCTTCTCCCTCTGCGCAATCAGCCCTTCGGTCACAGTCACAGAGCCATTATCGCTCCCCTGCGCCTGCTGCTGCTTCGCCGCCCTCAGCGCCTTATCCAAATCAATAATCTCCGGGTCTAGCCTATGCATCGCGTCGATAAGCTCCTTTTTCCGGAACTTAATCTCCACCACTCCTTCCGGCTCCAGCACCGCACCTCTCGCCGAATCCTCAGCGTACATCTCCACCATGTGCGGGTTGATCCGATGGTCCACAACGACCCACGCGCCGCCCCGAAGCTCGCCCTTCCTCGGGATATACACAAACACTGGCTGGTCATACGTGCGCAAATGCTCCACTATAAGCGACCCCGCTTGCAGCACCCCTTCGAACAGATCCCTCTGCCCTCCAGAAAACCCGCGCCAGTTGGCCAGAATAAACAGAGGCAGCCCCTCCAAACGCAGGTCTAGCAGCGCCTGGGCCGTTTTTGCAGCGGAATCCGGATACCACACCTGCCCGGCCTGCGGCAGCACCCGCTCGTGCGAATCCGGCTGCCCGGGATCGGCCGGAATGTTCTGGAACACCGTCTGCGTCTCCACCGCAATCACTCCCACAGGAATGCCGCCCAGCCGTGCCCGCCCCACCACCACCGTCTTCGCCCACCCGTCCAGCATTTCCATGAAGCTTCCCTCGTCGAAGATCCCCCGGAGAAAGCGGGTTCCGGACTGGATCCCGGCCACAGCAGCGCGGGGATCGCAGGAGGTCGTGGGGTTGTACTCAACCTTACGCGACGGCGAGTCGAGCGGCTTCGGGACGATCGGCAGCGGACGGTTGACGGCCGCGGGAACGTACGACAGCCAGCGGAGGATCGTCAGCACGCCGTCGAGGTCGTTCGCGACGGTGTTGTGAACCACGCCGTTCACAGCCATGACCTTGGGACCTCCCAGCTGCATGTGCGAGGAGTACACGTCCCTCCCAAGCAACTTGTTCAGAGCAGAGAACCCTGTCAGTATGATTGGTTGGTCCTGCCGCTGAATCACCCGGCTGCCAAGCCGAGCGAGGTACGCGCCAATCCCCACCGTCCGTCCCGTGACAAACGTCAGCGTGAACGTCTCGTGGAAAGCTCTGGAGAACACGCTCGCGATCGCACCGCTCCCGGACAGATTCTCCACCCCCAACCCCTCCTCCGCACCAATTATATCCGTCAGCACCCACCGCCGCTCTCCAGACGGCTCCATAACCACCTCATGCGCCACCACAGACGACCGCACGCGCGCATAGTCCTCCGGAGTGAGGTACAGATAATGGAACCCTCTTTCCGGGTTCTTCTCGTCGAGCCACGCGGCATGCAGGCACCGCTTCACCTCCTCCGCAATCCCAATTCTCGCGCCGGAATTCGCAGCGAGATACAGCAGCGGCGCCTTCTGCTTGATCGCCTCGAGAGTAATCGCATGGAAAAGCATGTCCTCATGTAGACCAAACGCGCCTGCGCCTCTGGTCACATCGTTCGCCACGATGTAAACCGTGCGGCCGTCGGGGAATTCCGGAGTGCGGAGGGTGAGCCGCCAGCCGACCATCGCGATGCTGTTCAGCCCCGCCGGGCGGCCGGTTTCCTGTAGCTTTGCGTCCCATCCGATGTTTGGGTCGGCGAAGATGAGCTCCTTGTACGTGAGGTGCGGGGCGGGCGGGGCTGTGTGCGTGCCCTTGGCCTCTGCTACCGCCCAGATCTGCTTCAGGGCCTCCTCGAAGATCTGTGGGAGGGCACAGGTGAGGGCGATGGATGGAAGGGGAGGACAAGGGGAGGGTGGTAAAGAAGAGACTAAATGGATGTACGAAGAGAGAAGAGCACAATCAACCACAGATCACGTCCCAGTTTCTATATCACTACAAATCAGGCAGCATCAGACCCACCACAGGCATTGCCACCAACCACAATAAGCACCAGCAGCATCAGCACATTCCGAAGCCCGAAAACCACCAGCTGCAGCAGCAGCACAATCACAAACAGCACAATCACAATCACAACACTCACTCACGGAGAGGAAGTCATAGCAGAAGGTGGTGCCAGCCTTCCTAGCAGCCAGCCTCTGCTTATCAATGGAGCTCAGCGGACCATACGGCGCAGAGAGAGGCGTGCCGTGCAGCGGACCCATGCCCTTGAGAGTCATCGTAGTGCCGCCGCCACCCCCAGAAAAAGGCGGAACCTTTTGAAAGAGCCTTAACCACCAGCACTACCACGATCATCATTACCACCACTTACCGAGAGGAAGTCGTAGCAGAAAGTAGTCCCAGCCTTCCTAGCCGCCAGCCTCCTCTTATCAATGGAGCTCAGCGGACCATACGGCGCCGACAGCGGCGTGCCGTGCAGCGGCCCCATGCCCTTGAGCGTCATCGTGGTGCTGCCGCCCCCACCAGCAGGGCCGGAGGGGGACGGCATGGGCAGCAGCGAGGAGGTGACGCGCACGGGGAGCGCGGCGGGCGGGAGGATGAGTGCGTTGTCGGGCCACGAGGGCATGTCGGTGCGTGGCAGCTTGGGCGGTGAGGAGAAGTAGACGAAATTCTTTCCGGCTGCGTCGTCTGCTTCCATGTAGGCCTGGTGTGTGGGAGCGTGGGGGCAGAGAGACAAAGGCAGCAAGAGAAAGGCAGGGATCAGGGGAAAGGGGGGAAATCGTGGTGCCGCCGCCCCCACCAGCAGGGCCGGAGGGGGACGGCATGGGCAGCAGCGAGGAGGTGACGCGCACGGGGAGCGAGGCGGGCGGGAGGATGAGTGCGTTGTCGGGCCACGAGGGCATGTCGGTGCGTGGCAGCTTGGGCGGCGAGGAGAAGTACACAAAGTTCTTGCCGGCAGCATCGTCGGCTTCCATGTGCGCCTGTTTGTGTGCAGG